AAAAAACGAAACAAATTATCCATCCCACTTCTCACAGGATCCAAGCTCACCTAGAAACTTCACATCTTTGGAACTTGCCTCATGCCATTCTCTCTCCCTGGAATGCCTTCTCTCCTGGTAAGCCTCTGGGCCTTTCAAACTGCCTCATCCACTCCTAGGGAAGCACTGCTAAATACCTGAGAAGATGAACTGAGACCTCCCTCCCTCCCCTTAAGCCCCAGATTCACTCAGTTGGTTCTGATCTACCTTTATTATGTTTGCTTCTGTACCTGCTTCCAGTGTTCCAAATGGGCAGTTTCCTGAGCTTCCTGTTCCCTCTGCCAAGAGCTCTCTTTCTCTGAATCTTTGCATGGCCAGCTCTTTGTCATCCTTCAAATGTCAGCTCAAACATCACCTCCTCAGCTAGGCTTCCCCTTGTCCACCCTACCTAAAGTAGCGCGCTCCCCACCCCAACTCACACTGTCCCATTACTTTGTGCCATCATCTTTGTAGAACTTAGCCGCATCTGAAATTATCTTCATTTATTTGTCAGCTTGAACTGCGTGTCTTCCTCTTGAACGTAAGCTCCTGGAGGACAGAATGAGTTGACACATAGTTGGCACCCAACAAATATCTGTTGGTGATTAAATAAAGGCAAGCATGGGGTATTCGATTTGGTGCTCCCAAAGACTTGGCACAGAGCCCGGGCGCAATAAAGGGTGGCTGCGTGATATATCTGTTGCATGAATGAATGAACCAAGGAACGTACAAATGAAGGTATGCAGCGCTCTGCTAGCCGACTGACAAGTTGAATGACAACTGAGAACCCGCGGCCCGCAAGTCTGTTGATTGACAGTTGACAGCTGAGTGGCAGCCAACGGACGCATGAGGGCGTTCCGATTGGCTGGTGCAACAGCCCCTTGGAAACCGGCTGGTGAGGGGGTGCCAAGGCGACAGCTCCAGGAAGGGACAGGGGCGACACGAGGCAGCGCGAGGCGGGCCAACCGCCACAAGCTAAGCGAACAACATTCGCCTCAAACTAGCTAGCCGACGTCTCCGCGCAGCGGCCCGGCGCGAGGGGCGGGGCGCGGGTCACGTGAGCGTGTTTTGGGCAC